TAACAAAACCATATGATTAGTTTTGATTTCTTGAGAATTTTAGCATCCGTCCGATGCCCCTGCCATTGCCTTCTAATTTCTTCTAATTTTAGTATATCCATTTATGCTGATCTGTTCCTGTTTTAATACCAATATATAATCCCTAAGATTTATTCTTCACTAAATTATTGGGATAGCTTTCTTGGTAATAAATCAACAAACGCTGCAGAACTTATGAGAAGTGGAGCATCTGATAATTCAGAAGCATGCAAACCAGTGGAAAAGTGCCAGCAAATCTTTAGTCACCTGCAAAGAGTGTTAATTTGACTAAACCTCCAGCTAATCAAGAAACTGTTAATTACTCTTGTTGGCTACAGTTACTGAAGAACTGAATTGGCATTACAGATGGACTGGTGGCTTGTAAAAATCAAGAATGCAAAGTTCCAGAGTAAACCAGCATGTCTTTACCAAACTTGTAAAATAGATAAACTTTCCATGTTTTGCACTACATACAGTTGAAGTCAGAATTATTAGCCCCCATGTTTATTTTTTTTCCCCAATTTCTGTTTAACTGAGAGCTGATTTTTTTAACACATTTTTAAATATAATAGTTTTAATAACTCATCTTTAATAACTGATTTATTTTATCTTTGCCATGATGACAGTAAATAATATTTGACTAGATATTTTTCAAGACACTTCTATACAGCTTAGAGGCATTTAACTCTTAAGTCTTAACTGGGTTAATTAGGTTCACAAGGCAGGTTAGGGTAATTAGGCAAGTTATTGTATAACGATGATTTGTTCTGTAGACTATTGAAAGAAAAAACAGCTTAAAGGGACTAATAAATTTGTCCTTAAAATATTTTTGTAAAAATTAAAAACTGCTTTTATTCTAGCCGAAATAAAGCAAATAAGACTTTCTCCAGAAGAAAAAATATTATCAGACATACTGTGAAATTTCCTTGCTCTGTTAAACATAATTTGGGAAATATTTAAAAAAGAAAAAATTCAATAATTCTGATAATTCTGACTTCAACTGTATGTATTAAAAGGCTCAAAACCTCCTGTATAAGACATTATTTAATCAAATTGTAATTTTTTTGGTTGCTCTTTATTCTACACTACATGATCTGTATGTAACTAGGGCTGCACAATTTTTTGTTTCAGCATTGATATCGCAATGTGATCATCCAATAGTCACATCATAAATGTTGCAATGTTGAGTCTAGATTATACATGATCATTTTGCAAGTGTTTTTGAGGCCTGTAACTGTGTGAGGGTTTTAAAAACATTCAGGCATAAGAAATTGTGGTGTTTGTCACTTTGAAAAATGTATAATGATTCATTCTATTGAATTGTTTTTAAAACGAAGACTATGCAGTATTATTTCACATTTGATTATTCTGTTAGTGTTTACCTGAATACATTTGGACATTTCAGAAAACAATAAAACGCTGTTTATTTAATTAGCATATTTTCATTATTGAATTTATCTGTGCTTGTAGATTGTTTGTTATATTTTATACACTCCACTACAGAATCATCTCAATTAATCAATACATTTTTTACAAACATATATTCAACTAATCTAGTGAAATTGTATGTGTATATCGCAATATATATTGCAGAATTTAAAAAATCACAATATGTAAATTTTCCAATATCGTGCAGCCCTATATGTCACATTAATTTAAAGTATATCTAAGAAAGTACTGGGTTATATTAAGTAAAGACATGGGTTATGTTCAGGAGGTAAATATCACCCAGCTTATATAATGACTATGATAAGTACATACACACAAAGCAGAACTGTAAAATATATATTGATTCCTTTTTTAATCAGTAAGATCTTAAATGTATTAGGTACATATAAACAGTCACCAGTAGCATGGGCCGGTATGATAACCTTGTATAAAAATGTCATGGTTTCATAGTATTGTGGTTACTGCTCTAAAATATATTCTTTTTATATGTCTAGGCAAAACACTTTTTTTCTCCCTTTAACACAACATATTTTATGTTGAGAAATATTTCAAATATTTTAGAACATTAAACATGTCAGACTAAATAATTCATATAAATCATTGACTTCTGCTGTCTTCATTAGTTTCAAAAACACTGATTTCTTTACAATTTAAAATGGCATCTTTGTAGATCCTTTCCACTGGAGATACTGTTGTCCAAAAAAACAAAAACAAAAAAATCATACATATACCATAAGAATGGTAAAGCAGAACATTTTGGGGGTTTTAAAACCTGGACTTTTTCAAACTGCAGTATACCTTAAAAACAGTTATCGTCCCATGACTAGTCACTAGTTACTAATATGAGTATATAATACATATGAGTACTGGTAACACTGGATTAGATGAGATTATATCTGAATTAAAGGGCTAGTTCACCCAAAAATTAAAAGTATGTTATTAATTAATCAAGATTTTCATTCATCTTTATAACACAAATTAAGATATTTAAAACGAAATCTGAGATCTTCCACATCCTCCAGTCAGCAAGGGTCCTGACATATTCAAGGTGGTTGGTATGGGGTACGTCAGTGTATAGTTCTTGTGAGTGTGCGCAATATACTGACACTGAAGCGAAGAAATTGTTGAAAAATGTCATTTTTGTTTTATATGTGCATAAAAGTATTCTCATTGCTTGATAATTTTGAACCACAGAAGGCCTGAAGTCTGTTTTGAGGATTTTTGGTATTCCAATGACTAACAAAAATCTCACTAGCTATGTTTCCATCCAAAGATGTGAATTTAATTTATGTGCAAACCTAGAATATCGCATGAAAGACGTGCAAATAAAGCAGCGTTTCCATCCAATGAGTCAAAGAGAACCAAATCATCACTTCCTTGTAAACTGGCGCCAAATATCAAAAGTTAAAATGGAATTTACTGAGGTAGGATAAGTTGCTTCAATCTTTTCCATATTGAATAAATTACTTCCTCAGAAGACAAGTGCTGACAAAACACAAAAAACGCATGGTGGCATTTGAAGGTGTGAGACACGGATTGCAGACGCTCTTCTGGAGGTAATTAATAATAAAATAACACTAATACTGAAACGGTCAAGGCGTTTTCGAATGACCAAAACAACGTTTTATATGTTTTACAAATGCAGTCAGCCTGCTGATTTGTCCACTCACCAACATTTTTATCATCACATGACCTCTTATGACAAAATCACATGACATTTGTATTGCGCATACTGGACTTTGTTCGGTAAAAGTGTTTCCATCACAGTTTATGCGCATCTTTTCTTATGGAATAAAAAGTTTATCCTACTTAGTTATGCGCATTTTCAAAATTGATGTGCATCTTGGCATTTCCATTAACTGTTTTTTATCCGAATCTCCAAAATGAAAACACAGCTACTGATTGGGAAGGACATAAGGGTAAGTAATTAACAACACTTTTCATTTTGGGGTAAGCAAGAAATAAGCATTGGTACCTAATGAAGAGTTAAAACTGTAATGCGTAAAGGTAGTGAACGGTATCTAATAAGCTCTGCATCTAAATAAAAGTTACACTAGTCACTATGTGACTTATTATTGGTAGCTTATTGGCAGTGGTGTAAAGAGTACTGGAAAAATATACTTAAGTACCATTACTAGCCAAGAAATGTAGTGCAAGTAGAGTAAAAGTATCTGTTGTAAATATTACTCAAAGTATGAGTAAAAATCAGATCTTTCAACAGTACTCAAGAGTAGTGAATTGTGAGCATTACACTGTAAAAAGCTGATGCGTTTCCATGGTATTTGTGGATGTGTGGAAACGTAACATTCTGCAGTGCATTTAGCTATTGCCCAGCAGACACACAACATCAGAAGATGTTAATATTAGGTTAGATTCAGCTTGTGACGTCAGTTAACCAAAATTCAATGTCTAGTCAGCGTCTAAGGACAACGTTAATTTGATTACCAATAACAATGTCAAATAACGTGTGATTGATTTCAGGTTGTGTTGGAAAGTGACCAAAATCCAACATCGAGCCAACATCTTAACTCTTATTGACGTCAAATACTGACATTTCTCGTCAGGTATGGCAACTAAAATCCAACATCTAATAGACGTCATAGTGGTAACGTCCACACAACGTCAAGCTGTAACATCATTAGACGTTGATATTTGGTTGATTTTAAGTTGGACATTGATGTTGGCCAGAGGTTGAGTTCTGACGTCAAACCTATTTTCATTTCCAAACAAAACGCAGCGTCCCCACAACGTTGAACTTTAACATAATGTTGACGTCTTGTGCCTGCTGGAGTTTAAGGCCATTTCAGTCTCTACTGTTCAGTCTCTGGGTCATTGTGTGTAAAATTTTAGATGTCTTCTTAGACACTTTTAATGCTTCCAAACAGTTTGCTGCAATTATAAATCGCCCATGTCTTGAGGTGGTTAATTATGATGAGATTTACCTTCTATGTGTGATTTGATTGGACAGGAATTGCAGGACTGATTTTTCCAATCCCCATAGACAGAAAAAAAATAAAGTAGTGAGAGCAGGTTGAAGGAAAGTGGTGGAGTAAAAGTAAATACTGCAGTAAAATGTACTAAAGAAAAAGTAAAAGTACACATTTTCATACCTACTTAGTAAATTACACTTTCTCTTCGAAAAGAAACTACCCAATTACAGTAGTTTGAGTGTTTGTAATTTGTTACTTCACACCACTGCTGATTGGTAATGTTAAAACAGCTTGCCATTATCAGCTGTGGAGTGAGCAAAGCGCTGGAGGCTGCACAGGACAGGAGGCTTTTGCTCCATCAGTTCACGACTCACGGCTGAAATCATGAGACATGCTGCACCTTTAAATTCAGATGTAATGTGATATACACCTTTATGATAATCATAATAAATACCAAATCCAGTGGTGGGATATGATACCAAAACTAGAAAAACCTCAAATGCACATTACAAATGAACAATCTAGTCTAATCCAACTGATCCACTCCTACTGTTCTACATGTCTCATTGGGTCACGGAACATTGCAATAGAATATAACGTTACCTTTTGATCTTGCAGTGTGGCTTTAGTCTCCGCGTACAGTAAAGTGAGTGGAATGCTGGAGTGGGTGTCGGAAGTAATTCTTGGGCAATTTTTCGGCTGGAAAATGATTAGGACTCCGACCGCATACTGTCGCCTCTTTCCTGGTGCTACAGTTAGGCCTCGACGACAGTGTGCTTCATGTATGAACGAATCAAAAATGTGTTATCATCAAGTCTGGAACCACCATGTCGCCCTCTGAACGCTTCGAGAGAATAGCAGGAAGCCCTTTCCACCGTATTCCTGATTTCAGCACACTTCTCTTTTAGGGAAAAAAACAAACGTATTTTGCGCCCTGCCTATAATTAGCGACATATGTTATAAGTCCAAATAGGGTAAAGCTTCCAGATTATGTCGTTGTCTTTATATTGCGTTGCCCGATCCTCGCCTCTTTCCTCCCGAGGTTCTTCTTCCTCCGTCTTCTCGTTTTTGTCTCCTCGTTTTAACCGTCGCTCCTCGTCCAAGAAATGACCAATTCACTAAAACACGAGACACCCCGTGGCCCTTCAAAGAAGTCAGAATAAAGTACCCCAAAAATCGACTTGGCTATCTCTCCGGAGAAGCATATAACCCATCCATCAGTTCAAACGTGACTGTGCCAGAACAGGAGGCGGGGTGGATTCAACATAAACAAGAGTACCGTTGTTTTTCTAAATAATTGAAATAATCTGCGCTCGCTCGGCTGTCAATTCAGTCCCACATGAAATCATTGAGTCTGCAGCAGAAACACGTAGCATCACATATGCGCGATTCAACCACACCCATTTTATTGCGAATGTACCACTGCAGCGCGCAGCTGCACCGCCAAACCGCGGCTCAGGGGGGTGAACAGCACCTCACTCTCGACTTCGGGCCGCTGGACGACAGATATCAGTTCTTTCAGCAGATGTGCAAACTCACTACTCAGTAACACTCAGTGTTGATGTTTGCCGTGAATGACATATAAATGCTCTTGAGAAGACAGGGACATTCTGCTGAATTCCCCCTACGCGCTGGTCAGTGACTACATGAATGCGCTGCTGAGCGAAGTGTTGCCAGATCTCACTAAAAGCACACTGTTGTGTGAAAAATAAACGCAAAACAAGCAACTTTCCCTTAGAAATATGGCAGAGCTGATAATTATTTATTCATAAAAATTAATCTTTATTTATAGTGTTGTTCGGTTAGTAGGAGTGGGTGTGAATTGTAGCCCACGTTGGTCACCACGTGCTTTGGCCAAAAAACAGTTAAAATGTTAACATTATGAAGAAAAAGAGATTGAACTGTTTAACAAATAAACGACTAAAGTTGTTTATAATATGTGGGCGTGGCAACACTTTATGGCATTTATGCAAAGTAACCAAAAATCAACACCTTAATATTTTTTCCATCTACAAATACATGCAAAATGACACCAGAATTTCCCAAGAAACACCAACCTCACACTTTGCTCAAGTTTCAATCTTGCACCCCAAATATGACTATATCATGAAAGAATCACCATCCTAATGCAAAAATGTATTATTATTTATTTATATTAATATAAATGTGTGTATTTTTTCTTTGAATCTTATTTATTCATAATAATAATAATGATTTAATAAGTACTGTAAGCCTATTTGATTCTTTGGACCCAGTTTTTTTAGCTTGTTTCTTTATTAATTTATTAGTTCATCATTGATTTGTTTCTTGTTTTACTAATACATGTCTATAACAAAAAAATGTTCATTTTTTTCTTTAAAACTTTTTACTTTATCAATTATATATAATATGAATTACTTTAAATTTAGTCATTTATTTCTTAAATGTAAATTTAATTCATTCATTTTTCCTCGGTTCAGTCCCTTTATTCATCAGAGGTCGCCACAGTGGAATGAACCGCCAACTTATCCAGCATATGTTTTAAACAGCAGATGCCCTTCTATCTGCAACCCAGTATTAAGAGAAGCACACACACATTCATTCATGCACACATACACTACGGTCAACTTTTAGTTAACCCAATTCACCTATATCTTTGGACTGTGGGGGGAACCCGGAGCACCCGGAGGAAACCCACACCAACACGGGGAGAACATGCAAACTCCACACAGAAATTTTGTCAGACCTAGCCAGGACTCAAACCAGGTGACAGTGCTAACCACTGAGCCACCATGTCACCCTAAATGTAAATTAAATTTTTTTTTTTATTCTAGTAGACTGTTTCTCCTGACTTTTTTCCAGCTCCCATAAAACTTCCGTATTGCCCCGTGGGGGTCCCCTCCCCGGGCCTACGTTTAAAAACCCCTGACTTGGATCTGTAATTAAAATTCCCCTGTAAGAGCAGACAGTAATGCAATGCACACTTTCTCTCTAGAGACATAAGCTGCCACCCACCAGAGACACACTCCTAATTACACCTGCTATAATTACAAGTTGATGGGAGGAGCACAGACAGATTATACTTTGCACTACTGTGCACTTGCTTATTGGCCCCATTAAAATTCGGATTGTTGCTAATGCTGTACTGCCATGGTTGAACATCTAAACTGTATTTATTTTCATTTACATCTACAACTGTGCCCATTAAAACTGGTCTGCACATCATGGAGGAGGATAGCTAAATATGGCTTATCATCATCATGTATCCCCCTCACCAAATGCAGCGATGGTACGCTCCACCTGCCCTACTCCCCATAAGAGACTGTAGTTGCTGTGAATGGGTTGCCCAGCAACACCATTTCCAGAGACCAGTGCACTGCGAGCAGAATGTGGTTGGATGGACGTGAACTGTATTAATCCTCCACACATATATTCATAACCACTAGGTAGGTCACCTACTAACTTATACGGATGTACTTGATTTCTGAGTATAATCAAATAAAAATGCTTCTAACAGATGTGATGGACAAGATGAGTAAAGGGGTGAAGATAAGGAGTGCAGTGTGAGCACAGTGTGTTATCCTCTCCATAACTGCTGTAGGCTTACTGGGTTCAGAAGGACAGAAAAAGGGTCACATTCTGATGTCAGAAATATTGGGATCTGAAACAAATGGAGAGTGTGTAGTGTCAGCCTCTAGAGTGCGCTATTGCTCCTTCTACAAAGAAAATGGAGTCTTCAAATGAGTTTTACATAAACTCAATGTGTTAAAGAAGTATATGTGTAAATGTTGTGGAATAACTTAGGTGTTTACCAACAGTGAGAACAGATCTGTGCTAAATACATGCATAAAATATTCAGTAAACAGTAATACTAAACTACTAGTAATTTTAAACTACTAATACTACTTAAGTATTACTGCAAGAATAGCATTTTAAGAAACTCTAAAAGCAAATTACCAAAGGAAGCTTTTGTTGTTTGATCTACAGACCAAACTGGAATGAAGAAGCAGGGAATAATCTAGTGTTTGACTTTAAATTCCTTCTAATGTTTAACCCTGCTGTGTTTAACCAAACATGTTCAGTGCAAAGGTCAGTTTCATCCTTAAACCAGGTTTCTAAAACGAACTGCTCATAACTGCAGAGGCAAAACATCTGTTCATCATATTATATATCATCATGTCTATTTATTTTTTTATTTATTTGTTTGTTTTGTTATTAATGCCATTCCAGAATATGGTCATATTCATGAAAAGAACCAGTAATCTTTATAGTCTTTCTTACACAGAAGTCGGGAGGGACAATTCAGAATCTTCAGTTTAACTAACTTGCTTGTCTTTGGGCTGTGGGAGGAGAGTACCCGGAATAAACCCAGCTGACATACACACACACACACACACACACACACACAAACACGCACACACACACACACACTTATATAGGGGTTGAACAATGTAACTGATAATTAGTCTGGTGTACTTCGTCTTGGGAATGGCAGATAATGGTCCTACACCATGCCCATAGCCAGCCTGGTGAAGGAGGTGGTTCTTTTTTTTTTTTTTTTCCTCAAAAAGTTAACCTTTTTGCGGTTATACGCCTCATTTTCTATTTAATTATGAGATTAAAATACATTTTAAGCACTATTTTAAGCTGGATTAGCTTGTCGGAGTGTCATCATAACCACACTTTTTGACATACCAAAAATCCAAAAGTATTTGCTAGATTTAGAATAAAGAAATATGAAGATATACTTATTTTTGAAATACAAATGTATTTCATCATATATCATTAGAAAAGAAGAATCTGTTTTAAATTAAAAACAAGCCTATTAACTATTGTCATTTATTAGGCAAATTATAAATAACAAATTGTCCAGCACATTTAATCTAATCAGAATCTGACCATTTGAATAATGATAATAAAAAAAAAAAATCACTTCACATTTTTTCTAGCCTATCTGTAAAAAAAAAGTACATTTAAAAATTCATGCATAACAACAATTGTATTTAAATTCATTTTAGATGGGTTATTTTTACTATTTTACTATGTAGTACTATTTACTATTTTACTATATGATGGCATAGCAGTCAAATAGGACAAATGAGCTCATGAATAGGACAAATTCTGGATTTTAAACCATTCTTCTTGCAGAATAAAGGTCAGGTCAGTATATGATGCTGGTGTCTGTATTTTGTACTATTTTGGTGTCGTTGTATTTACACTGTCATTATATTTGCACTGTCTGTATTTTGCACTGTTGTTGTATTTTTTACTGTCTGGAGTCAGCACCTAAGCTTTTCACTCATCATAGCACACGTGCTGCTGATGATTTGACAATAAAAGTGATTTGATTTGATTTGATTTGTAGGAAAACATTTTCTGACTTGACCCCCCAAAACACCTTAAAGGGGCTCAGTAATATTTAGATCCGGTGACTGTGCAGGCCATCGAACACAGAAAAAAATTATTCAAAAATGATTCCTTGAATTTACTAAATTATTTTAAGTTAAGTGGTTGTAAACAATTTGCTTGGGCTGGATTTGAACAAACAAATAAAGTTAAACATTACTCAATTTAATTTGTTTGCTTAAATTCAACACAAATAAATTGTTTGCAACAATTTTGCAGACATTTTTTTCAGAGAAGATGTTCAACTTCACTTTCATGTTCATCAAATCAGTCTCCAGTCTTGCTGTGTGTATTGGTGCATTATGCTCCTGATACATGCATGGCAACACCTTCAGAATACAGTGTTTGAACTAGTGGATGCACATGGTCCTCCAGAATGTTTCTGTAATCGTTAATTGGCAGTGATCCAGTACCCATCTAGCACAAGTAGGGATTGCCATGATATTGTAGCCCGAACCATCACTGATCCACCCCCATGCTTCACTCATGCAACAGTCTAGGTGGTACACTTCTTTAGGGCTTCTCAACACCATAACTCTCCTGAACATGGGGAAAAACAGTGTAGGTTGACTCCTCAGAGAACAATACTTCTTATTGTGCACAGCCCAACATTTTCTTTGTTGTCACCATTCAAATCGTTGTTTGGCATGTATATTGACCCTGTGGAGCTTCCGACAGTTTTTGTGGAAACAGGAGAGTTGAGGTGCACATTTAATCCTGCAATGAGTTGTGCAGCTGTGGTTTTCTGTTTTTTGGATACAATCCAGGTCAGCACCTCCCTTTCAGACAGCTTCCTCTTGTGTCCAGAGTTACTCCTGTTGGATGTGGCCCATCCTTATTGGTGGTATGCTGACATTTCTCTGGATTCTGTGGCTCTTGATGCATTACAAAGACTTGCTGTCTTGGTCACAGATGCATCAGCAAGACGCACACTAAGAGTTTGTCCTCTTTTTAACTCTGATATGTCACCCATAGTGTTGTATATATATATATATATATACATATACACAGTACAGACAAACGGCACTTATAAAAATGACTATAAATAACACCATAGTGCAATGGTCTCAACCTCAATTCCTGGAGAGCCACAACTCTGCATAGTGTAGCTCCAACCACCTTCAACTCACACCTGCTTAATATTCTCTAGTCTTGAACACCTTGATTAGTTGAATCAGGTGTGTTTGATTAGGGTTGGAGCAAAAA